TCGGTGCGCTGCCTGGAGAGGGGGGGCCGTGACGGCTCCGCGGACCCAGCCGCTCGCCCCGGACGACGGGCGTTTCTGTTTCGAGTGGGTCCTGTAATTATGAACTCACCCGCGGGTTGGTCGTTCATCCGGGGCCTTCGCGACGTTCGTGTTTTTCGGTGCGCTGCCTGGAGAGGGGGGGCCGTGACGGCTCCGCGGACCCAGCCGCTCGCCCCGGGTGACGGGCGTTTCTGTTTCGAGTGGGTCCTGTAATTATGAACTCACCCGCGGGTTGGTCGTTCATCCGGGGCCTTCGCGACCGCGTTCGTGTTTGTACCCGGGACAGGGTCCGAGCCCCCACGGGCCGGCGAGCGGAGCCCGAGCGCCCGGTGCATCTCGGAGACGGTCAGCCTTGGCTGCGGGGATCCCGCCGTCCCAGGCCCTTTCCTGATGGAGGGGCCTTAACCAGGGCTTTCTGACGCCTCTCACTTTTCCCTTTGACCCAAGTGCCCAGCGACGAGCCAGTGTAAAGGGTGAAAACCCGTCTAAATTTAACAAAAATGACAGTTAACAGTCTATTTAAATTAACCCGAGGAACAGTTAACAGCTTTTTGTTGAATCGCAGGTTTCTCCCTGAGAAAGGAGAATGTGGTCTATGAAGACTGAAAATGGGGAATTTTGAAATAATACACCACTTTTTTTCATGATTTGCATAATTTTTAACTGGAAACTTGCCACAGAAAATTGTAGGGTTTTGTGTTTGTTTTTTTTTAAATTTATTTCTGAAGACATGATGTAGGTTGTAGAACATTGGAAGACCATATGCCATGATCCATATTTAGCTCTAAGCTGGTGTGTGTGTGTGTGTGTGTGTGTGTGTGTGTGTGTGTGTGTGTGTGTTTTGTTTTTTTGTCAAAAGGTGGGTCTGGCAGTCGGGTGTGAGAGGTGGCACTGCTGTCACATGGAATTTAGGTCACTCGAAGGGAACTTGGAGCATGTATCCCTGACAAGCGGTTTCTCCACGGCTGTGTTTTTGAACTGTGTGGAGGGTGAAACTGTTGTAGTATATATTCGTCATTATATTCCCATTCAAATTAATTTTTAAAATAGGTACTATGTATCAGGTTTGGTTTCTTTGTCTTGTAAAAAACAGGTTTATTTTAAGGGTGCTATATTTATTGACTTACAGTAGCGCCATGGTTCATACTTGTTTTGGCTACAAGTTAGCACAAAATTGTTAGAGTATAAGTTTATTGACCATATAATTGCTAGCAATGAAAACATTTTAAAAACCTACAGTTAATAGGCTTTTGGTGGATTTCCCATTCATTGATGACATAACATTCTAGTTTGGAATACAGTTTACTTTTTAAAATGAAGTTAATGGAGACTTGTGTTATTAGGATCTTTACTAGAATAGTCAAATAGTTGTTTATTTTTGTATATCTCAGTGGATCCACCTATGGGTGACATCAGATAATTGCTTAACAGTTCATGGATAATTAAGGGAAAAGAAACAAAAACATTTTAAAAGAAGCTACACTCAATCTGGAATAAAAGATCTTAAAAGTACAGTAAACAGTACAGAAAAGGACATATTTCCTATTTTGTCCCTATCCCAAAAGGCCTTTATTAATTTGTACAACAGAATAATACCAAACCTTATTACTCACTTTTGCAGCGATGCAACTTGTTTTGGAAAACCAAAGTCTAAATATTTAACCCATGTGGTTGATATATTTTGATTAATAAAGATCATGCTTTTAGTTGTGTGCCTAGTGGAATGTGGTTGCTTTAAGAACATAATGTAGGGTATATTTTTAAGGATCTTCAGAGTTAATTTCAATTTAAATGTATATCTCATGTATAGTATATGGTTCTCTTTGAAGGGAAAAAAAAGTAACCACATGCTTCCATTTTAGTCATTGTCATTAAATATCTGCTTGTTCAGTATAATTTGTAGTAGGCAAGAGGATGAAAACTGCCTCACATTAATCTAATATTATATTATAGCACAATCTAAAGCCCATTACTTTTTGTTATCTAGCTAAGGATATATTCTGTGTATTCTATATTTTATTTTTTAAAAATTTTAGCTCAGGTCTAAAATTTGAATTTCGATGATAAGCTCTTTAAATGCCTGTAATTTAAAGAGATATGTTTTTCTCAGCCTCTTCTGAAACAGTCTCCTTGGAGCAACCATCAGAGCAGTGGCTGGGGCACCGGAAGTATGTCCTGGGGAGCCATGCATGGCAGAGATCATCGTAGAACTGGAAACATGGGGATTCCAGGAACTATGAATCAGATATCTCCACTGAAAAAACCGTTCTCTGGTAATGTCATAGCACCACCGAAATTTACTCGTTCTACTCCATCACTGACGCCAAAATCTTGGATTGAAGATAATGTGTTCAGAACAGACAACAATAGTAATACACTCTTACCCTTGCAGGTAAGAATGGTATGTAAATGGCTTATTTCTAATGTTAACCTTTCAGGGTTGGAAACTGAGTGGTGGTAGCAGTAGTATGGTAAAATTAATGGATTCAAAAAGAGAAAGTTCTCATTTTTAAGCATATGTAATTTCATTATCAAAGGATAAAATATCTACATGAAGAAAATTGACACTATAAAAAATCTGTAAGCACACAATAGTAAATAAGCTTCAAAAAATGTAGAAAAACCTGCTGCACTTCTTAAATACATATTGAAGCTTTTAATTGGCAACTTCTTAAGAATGCCTTAATTTATTAATCTTTAATGGGCCACCAAAATGAGTTTTTCCTACAATATAGCTGAACTAAAATGTTCGTAATCATGCATAGATTTGGCTATGATCAGCTGTAGTGTATTAGAATATACTCAGTACAGCTATGATTGTGGCAAAATAATATGGCTTTTTACATAGAATTAAATTTTGTCTTCACTGGTTCAATGACTTTTTTTTTTCAAAATGTGGCCTAATAGTTATGATGATTGACAGTTTTTCAGGCCTTTTAGTATTTTGCTGATATTGCAGGTTAATGAAACTCTCTTATGGCTATTTAAAATGAGGTGGTTGGTTTTTTTTTTTAAATGAGGTTGTTTTTTGGTGGTAGTTTTGTTTTCCTGAAACCTTTAGAAAAAGGAATAAAGGTAGAAAGAATTTTGGTTTTTGTTTTATTTTCTTCCTTTTTTTTTTTTTTTATGTGGGTGGGTATGGGAAAGAGAACTGCATATTTCTGATGAAAACTTCTATGCTGTTGAAGGTGAGATCTAGTTTGCAGTTGCCAGCTTGGGGCTCAGATTCACTCCAAGATAGTTGGTGCACTGCAGCCGGAACATCCAGAATAGACCAGGTAGGCTGCACAGTGTATATTTTTCAGGACTTTGGCTAGGAGTTTAGTAGTATTTATATAACGAGGAGGATTTGTTACTTACTTTCAGTATCTATTTAAGCATATGTCAGAGAGCCTTAAAGCAATTTATTTTTAAAGGGTCACTTGACTTAAACTATTTAATATAAAATGCTTCATTTTTATATTTAAATGTAATTCATAATCATTTTATATTTCCAAAACATAATAAATTACTTTTGGAAAAAAAGGAATTATATACCCAAGAGCACCTGGCTTTAAACATCAGTCAAATGGAACAGATATTTTATCTCCTTTCAGAATTATTTGCAATTAGATACAAAATCTTGTTTTTACTCAGTCTCCAACTTTACAATTTCATCAATGTTTTACATAATTTTTAGTAACATTTTTCATAAACCCTGCTATGTTGGTCTTGATAAACTTTCTTAAAAAGCCCTATCTTAGTTTAGCTTTTTCAACTTGGTAAAAAACTTTGATACAATATTTTTTTCTAAATTTTGTTACTGCTCTTATATATTATCTTCTTCCAAATAATCAGTTACTCTAGGAAAAACCGTGAGCCAGAAAACTGGGAGGCAATCTTAATCAAATTACTGTCAAGCCCTTATACAAAAGGTTATCTCTCTTCCTGCAGACTAAATTTGAATGCATACTGGGCACTGGGTGATGAGAATTATTACAGGATACAGAGAAAACTCAGTCCTATGTATGGGGGTTCTTTTCTACAGAACCCAAGTTTGAGCAGAGTTGACATTATGGAACTATTATCCTTAGCTAAGGCTCTTCCTTAGTTAATTTATCAATATGGGATTATTTTATAAGTAAGGACTGTGTAAACAGATTAATAATATGCGTTTATCTAGCATTCTAACCTGGAGGGTTAACAGTAACTTTAATAATCAAGCATTAGCACTTGTTTTAGACAAGTTCTACCTATTTACCAAAGTAGTCCTGCCAGGATCTTCACTTAGAAATAAGTAGCTGTCTCATATAATACGTAACTTATTGTCTTGTTAATGTAAGTTAGCTACCCATCTATTTCTACTGTCCTTTTCACCTTGGTTCCTTTAGGACATATCAGTGTCATTTTTATGATAGCATTTTTATGTCGTTTGTATTGAATATATAAATGCCTAGGAAATGGTGTGTTAGAAGAGGAAAATAATGATAATTATTTTGAAGGTGGCAAGATACACATTTTTAGTGCAGAAGAGACAAAAAATATTCCAAGATAATAGGATACACATAAGAGAGGGATATGTCTCTCTAGAGAAGGAAGACAAATTAGCTGCTATATAAAGGGTCTATGGGTTGGTGGGGGGACCATATGTTGAGAAAATAGGTTATTGAGATGGTGTCAGTTGTTGGAATGCTAGAGAGCAGAGCAGAGGTGATAAGGAAAGGCAAGTTTGCAAATTGGACTCTGCAGAGGTGCCCCTGGGGCTGCCCCAGTGCAAGGGCCTCTAACCTCCCACGTAGACCACAATCAAAGCCACTCTGCTCTTACCTATTTTATAACCTAGGGTTTTAGGTATATTCATTTTGGTAATTAAAGATTTTTTGTTGTTGTAAATTGCTGAGATATTGGCATTCCCTATGGACTCTTGACCAAGAGGTGTGATGTTATAAGTTGAAACAGCAATGAAAACAAAGAGATAGTGAAAAATGTACTAAACTAGAAGGAGGTTTGAAACCTGAGTCATCTTCCTCTGCCTTTCACAATCTTTATGACATTGTACGTCAGTTCATGGGCCTTCACCTATTTGGGTCATTATTATGAGAGGACCTTGAAGTAGGTCATGTAAGACCTTTTTAGTTCTTACACATCCTCTGGTCTCTTTTGGCCATTTCTTTTTCTCCCTCCTCCCTGGACCCTGCTACCCATCCCTCCCCCTTATTTTTAGAATCGAAGGGCCTTGGTTTATTGTGGTTGAAGGGATGGGTATTGGTCCCAAGCCATAGGAGTGTAGTGTCTAACTTTCCAACGTTGTTGTCACCTTTTAGTACCCCAAGGGTACTTATACAAAATTTGTTCTGTGTTTCTACCATAAAAGGTTGAGGTATTTGAAGTTGAGCTTCTTAAAAATATAGCAGCAGCTACAAACTACAATTGGTATCTTAAACTGTGGTGTAGTTCCTCACTATTTGGCAATGTTAAAATTATAGAAAATACTTAAGTACTCAAATATCTGGAGAGATTATTTTCATCTCTAATCTTTTTGCATCATCTACATTTTAATACTAAAATTTTAGTTAAAAATACATTATTTTAAAAAATTTAAGTTTTTATTTCCTTTAGTATCAAATTGATTAGGCCTAAAAAATACTAAATTCTAGAATTGAAGTCTTAATTGTTATTACTTCAGGCCTTACCTATAATTGAATTCAGTAAATGGGAAAGAAATAGTTTTATAGGTTGATTTTATTTCAGATGTATGTAAAATTTTTCGTGTTGGTATGACCTTATTTTAAATAACCAATTTTTATGGAAAAAGTTCAAATTAAAAACTTTTAAAAAACAAATATAAATTCTTCTGCATATTTCTGACTTTAAAATGAATATTATATATTTCTGTTAAAATGTTAAGGCTAAGAATTACTTTTCTTTAAAAATCTGTTACCTAGTAACCCTTGCAAAAAATCATATTCAAAAGTGTGAATTCTAAATTACCTTAATATTTACTTTATTTTTTTTTTCTTTATTGAGTAAGGTATTACATATGTGTCCTTATCCCCCCTATTACTCCCCACTCCCCCACTCATGCCCTCACGCCCCTGGTGTCTGTGTCCATTGGTTAGGCTTATTATGCATGCATACAAGTCCTTTGGTTGATCTCTCCCCCTTACCCCTCCCCTCCCCTACCTTCCCTCTGAGGTTTGACAGTCTGATTGATGCTTCTCTGTCTCTGGATCTGTTTTTGTTTATCAGTTTATGTTGTTCATTATATTCCACAAATGAATGAGATCATGTGATATTTATCTTTCTCTGACTGGCTTATTTCACTTAGCATAATGCTCTCCAGTTCAATCCATGCTGTTGCAAATGGTAAGAATTCCTTCTTTTTTACTGCAGCATAGTATTCCATTGTGTAGATGTACCACAGTTTTCTAATCCACTCATCTGCTGATGGGCA